AAAATTCTTATTATAAGAGTTTTATATTTAAGATTGGAGGAGTATTAGTGTATTAGCAAGCCTAACTAACTAATCCAATATATCCAACCTTTTTCATTCCCTTTATTATTAAAAATTCCATAAAATAAATGCACGAGTAGCTGTTGGGACTAAATGAACAAGTAGTTATTTAAAAGCGCACAGTGAATGTTTGTAAAAACCCTTGATTCGTGCTGCTTTGCACCTACCTAATTGGAACTAGTTTAGGTGAGTACCCTAAACTAATTAAATTTGAATCACTCATATCTCATCTAGATGATCTAGATTTGATTTATTTTATTTTATTTATTTAAAATAATTATTTTAATATGCATCGAATCTAAAACAGTGATGATCTCTTAGTTATTATTCTTTCAAAAAATAGTTTTTCTATTTAAAAATAATTAATTAAATATTTTAAATCTAGAATGTTCAAATCAGATATAAACAATCTAGATCTGATGAACTTAGAATGCTCATCAAAATTATGAGCACCGAAACTGTTTCCTACCTAATCAGACATGTAGCCTTCTCCCTACTTCCCATTGGATGAAGGCTTCCAAATTATATATCCAATAATTCTTTTTTTTTTTTTTTCATATGATGCTTCTTGTGTTCATGCCAAGTTGGTTTTATCAATACCTCGTCAGCTCAATAATCCTTTTTATTTTGATCTAAAGTTACTAATGTCATAAAGTATATTATAGTAGAAATAAATAATTTAAAAAAAAACTTTGGTTTTAAAAAAATAGTATTAAAACCCACTTCGAATCACCCAGTTAAACCAGTGGATTAGTTTAGTAAAGTTATCGATTTGGTTTGGATGAATCAACCAAGTTGAATTTAATATCTCCCCCATTTATTAAAAGGTGTTTAGATGAAACTGAATCATGATTTAAAGAATAGCTTCTGGAAAATAGATTTTTGAGAGAATAGATTTTGTGAAAAAGTGATTCTGATAAAGTGAAAGTGTTTGGATAGTTGTTATTAGAAGCACTTTTTATATGTCTGAATTACTAAAAAGGACATAAATTAATATGATAGTTACATAAAAGATAAATTTTATAATATATTTTAATTTGAAGAAATAAAATTGTTACTAATATATTTTTTACTAACATAATTAATAATATATAAGATAATGTAATTAATAAATAATTAATGTGTATATATATTTATAAATTATAAGATTAAATATGTTTATAAAAAAAAATAATTGAGGGATATTAAAGTCATATTACCGTTAGGATCTATTCTAACAGACACAATCATATTCTTCAGTTTGAGCCAGTAGCAGAATGAATTTATTTTTTCTAAAACCATGGTTTTGAACCCAAAACCATAATTTGCTTATTTTTCTCTCTTTGATAAATTTTTGTCCCAAAACCATGGTTTTAACCATTTACCAAATAGAATCAGAAAAACTACTTCTACCAAAAAAAAAGTTTCTTGGAAAAATAAGTTATCCGAATATTACTTTTTCTTAAGATAATACTACATCTAATTCTAAATATAACAGCTAGTTAATTAATTTGAGTAGATTAAAAAAATAAATTTATTATATTTAGAACTAAAATAAAAATTAAATAAGATCTTATATTAAAGATTGAAAGTAATATATGAATGTTTGTATATATTTTAACGGTAATTGGAAGGTTCGTAGACTCAAGAAAGGGAGCTTCAGTTATCTTCTCCATAGATCATGGGTTACGCTCCATTATTGACTCGACAAGTCTCCCCTCTTCTTCTTTCGTCACTTTTGGGGCACCTATTACAAAAAAATCCTAGACTGCTTCATAATTTCCTGTACCACCAAATGATGTATTTATAGAAAATAAAGTTACTTGCCGGTCAAGGCGGCATTTGACTGTAAGATGTGCACTCAAATTAACATAATTAAAGTTTTTAAATTTGACTAACACCGACTAAATTGAACGACAATAATTTGATTTCTCAAAAAAAAAATCCTCTTCAAATATTAAAATAAAATAATGATAAATCAGTATTTTCGTGTATAAAAAAATTTTCAAATTAGTGTTGTTTTAAATCAATAAAAATTTTCTATTTGAAAATTTTATTAGTAAGCAGGATATGATGTGTTTTTATACACATAAAATACCATTACTTTGCATGGTTTTATATGCAAGAAGTATTAATAGTAGAATTCAGATCATTCTTATTGATAAAATTTACAAACGAGGAATTTTCAGCAATTTTTTTTTATACGAGAAGTACTTATGATATTAATTAAAAATAGAAATTGATGACGTGGCTATGTGAGTGAGTCAATAACTTAAAAGCAGAGACATGTAAAGGCCCAGGCGGTGATAAGCTTATGCGGTGAGGAACTTATCTGATACGCACCCTGATTTATAATTATTTTTATTACTATTATTTAATAAAAAGCAAAAGAATCTACATAATGTACTAGGGAGTGTATGTTAGTCTTATATATAAAACCTACTACCTTCAGTTTCATTTATAACACCTCGTTTCTAGACTACAAATAATATTTTATAAATAGGATGGGACATAGTATGTTATTACTTATAAATTTTTTCTCAAATTAACCTTATTGATATTCTCTTAACAATAATTAAGTAAAAAAGAAGGGAGGAAATTAAGAACAATGTTCAGTATTTTTTTTAAAAAAAATGTCATATTAATTAATTTAACTAATATTTTTAATCTATTTAAATTAATTAGTAAGGTCTTATATAAAGAAGAGCATAAATAAATACTATTCAACTGTTTGAATTTATCTTTCGTATCAAATTCACCCGGTTACATTTACCCCGAAAATTCTCTCGCATATTCCCCACCCCAGTCATAAAGCAATTGGCTTTTCGGTTTTCCAAATAATACAACCCGAAAATAATAATAATAAATACAAAAATAAGCCGAAAAATTATTGGTCAATATCGCTCTAGAACCTCCTAAGCCTCTGTCGACATCATTTTTTTTTTTAATTTAACAATACTCCTCGAATCAGAATATTATCTGAATATCTGCATTGCATTGTTTCAATCATATGTCATCCATTTAAGTTTTGTCTGATTTTTTCAAAAAGTCTTCAAGATAAAATTAAAAGAAAAACAATTTCATATTGTATGCTTTTTTTTCAATAAAATAAAATAAAGTAATTACCATTAAAATGAGTGTAGAGGATGCATGATTATGTTTGAGCAATGATTTTAGACAATCCCAAAAATAAGTGGTTTTTTTATTTAATTTTGAAATTTTAATAATAGATTTTCAGAATGAGGGGGGATCAGTTTAGTGATGCTTAATCAATCAAATCATGGAGCTAAAAGTAATAATTCAGGAGACTTGGAGCATAATCTATCTTAATTCCCTATTAGCTTTGTTTCAGGGAATTTCTCTGTTTTTATTTTTATTTTACTGTGAAGATAGGAATTTCTTTTATTTTTTTGATAATCAAGAATATCATCAGTGCATATCATCAATGATCTAATGCCCTTGATATATTGTCGGAGTCGGTGACCTTGGGGAATCGAATTCCCAACTTTTCTTCTTACAATACAAAAACATGGATATTTATCCATAGCATCATAATATTCTGGGAATACAAAATTAAATAAAAACTAAATTTTTTTCTTAATTTCTAAAAAAAAATCAATTTAATATATATTGACATAAAAAAATATTTATTTACTTAGGGCAGTTAATTTATAGTCGAATTTCACATCTAAATTGAAGACATGAGAAGACAATGTTACTTGCTTCTGTACCAGAATCAGCAAAGTTAACGTAAACCATACGCCAAATAAAAGCAATTAAACAAATCATTTATAATTAGACTAAAAAAAAAAAGACTATAACTCAGTGAAAATGTAATAGGATCTGATTCAATAATATGTTATTAGGTTCATGAAACTCAGAAAATGTGATAGGACCTACATATTAAGTTCAAACCATGGGAATAAAATAAGAAAGAAACTCTGTTGCGAATTGCGACGACCAACCTCCGTTTAGGTTTTTTGTGGGTAAAATCTTTTGATTTTTAAGAGTTATATTTCCTCTGGTGCTTGTTATAAAAACCTTTAATATATTTTGTCTTTATGACTAACTTAAATTATGTTAATGACTTTTTTTGGTATGACTGAGCCATACATAGGTGAAAATAGATTTAAGCCTAGCGACAATTTTATTTATACATACGATTTAAATTTCAACATTTACTTAAAGGAACAATTTCAAGCCACCCCAACAACTTATGGAATGCAAATTCAAAATATTCTGCATTATTTTTCTCCTAGTGAGAACATAGTATTAGTCTACATTTTTTTGATACTCCGGTTCAAAATATAAGCTAAACTTTTTTTAAAAAGATTGTTTTTTTTACAAGATAACATCCATTTTTGTCCAAACATTTAATGAATTTTTTTTTTCGATTTTACTCCATATATTCTTTTTCCTCTTTAATTCATTTATTACATCTCTTACTTATTCTCTTCATTAATAAGGATATATTAGGAAAAACAAATATATGCCTTACACATTTATTGTTTTAAATTGATTTTAATTAGTTTCTTGATAAACGTAATGGATAAAGTTTAGTTTATATTTTAAATCGGAAGAAGTACTGAATAATTGTTAAAAAAAAAAAGTTAAACAAACGCATATTTTATTGGAGGCAAAAAATGTATAATTTTAATTAATTTATATATATATATATAAAAGAAACAAAAAGGGAAGTTGGATGAAAATATGGGCCCAAGAATGTGAAGGTCTTTCATAGGAATTATATTGGATTTAAGGTGTTAACGGCATCACTTTCCCCCCTATTTTAATGTATGATTTTTCCTGTTCGTTTGTTTTGCAACGAGATTTAAAAAATAAATATGCTGACATTATTTTTGGCACGAAAGCTCGATATCAGGGGTGCGTTATTATGATGTCTATAAATTGGGTAGCCTTCCCATGAATCCGTTGTGCTTAGCATTGTTCCCACTTCCGTGATCGGAGGCGCCTATTGAAGCTCCTCACCTTTCACTGTTCTTTTTCAGCGGAGAAAGATTGTGATTTGTTCGGGAACCTATTAGCTTCAAACCTACGGGATCATCATAATCCGGGCCTGCAGGATTTTTGGTCTCTGTCTCTTTCTACTTTTTTAATATTTTGTCCCCGCTTAATTCTGTTTTCCTGTTCACTCAGCTCAGTGCATCAGCACACCGTTATAGTGTTTTTCGGTGCTAAATTTCAAGCACTACCTAATTACTTGGCGTTCTTAACTGAATTTGACTGGGTCAGGTAGAGAGTATTACATAAGTTCAGAGTGAGAGAGATGATGACTCGGAGCATTGAGAAGATGGGTTCCATTGACGCTCAACTGAGGTTGCTGGCGCCGCGAAAGGTGTCTGATGATGATAAGCTAGTCGAGTATGATGCTTTGTTGATGGACCGCTTCCTTGACATTCTTCAGGATTTGCATGGTGAAGACATCAGAGAAACGGTATTTTAATTTTTGCCCCCCTTTATATTCTATGCCTTTTAGTATGGTATTTGTTGCCAAGTTAGTTTCTGGGTCAAGGAAAGATGATCTTTGTGACAAAGCTTCTGCTGATTTGTGAAAGCCCATAGACGTTTCTCACGAAGTTATGAACTCAGAACGTATTCACTAGTAAGGCTTATTTCTTCATTTTGATCAATGTTGCTCGAAATACATAAGGTTTCGAATTTATCGGTTTTGATCAAGGTTTTGCAATGCATGGAGCAGGTTTGTGGAAGTTTTTCTGTTGTGGTCATGCATAAATTAACTTTCAAATCATAACGCATCGATCCCATGTCCATATAAACTTTTTTTGCTAGAGTCTGCATTTTTGTTCTTTTTGACTTGCTGAACCAGTGATCTGATCTTGAATAGGTTCAAGATTGCTATGAGCTGTCAGCTGTGTATGAAGGGAATCATGCCCCTGGGAAGTTAGAGGAGCTTGGGAATAAGCTGACTGGTCTTGATGCTGGTGACTCTATCGTGGTGGCCAAATCATTTTCTCACATGCTGAATTTGGCCAACTTGGCTGAGGAAGTCCAGATAGCCTACCGAAGAAGGATAAAGTTATTAAAGAAGGGTGATTTTGCTGATGAGAACTCCGCCATAACTGAATCTGACATTGAAGAGACTTTCAAGAGGCTTGTGAATCAATTGAAGAAGACCCCGCAGGAAGTGTTTGATGCCATGAAGAACCAAACTGTAGATTTGGTCCTGACTGCTCATCCTACTCAGTCTGTCCGTAGATCTTTGCTGCAAAAGCATTCGAGGTTAGTTCATGTCTTGTCTTAACTCAAAAAGAAGAGTCGCATTTTGGTGTGCTTTTATCAATTATCTGCAGTATAAAAAACTGTGACATCTAGTCATCTAGTGTAGAGCATGCTATTTTTGGCATTGAAGATATAAAGCATGTTTATTCTAAAACAGAGCCAAGTCTGTGCCAACACATTTTAGACACTTGTGTTCGAAGTGATCTGATACTTCAGTGTTCAAGTATATGCTTTAAATTTTGTCATTCTGCTCTATTCGTGTCAGTTGTGCCTCATGTTTGCAGTTTCTATGCTTCCTAGCATCACGCAATTTTTTTGGTGAAAAATATTTCTGTTGACAGATTTTTCCCCTTTCAGGATAAGGAATTGCTTAACTCAATTGTATGCTAAAGATATAACACCTGATGATAAGCAGGAACTTGATGAGGCCTTACAAAGGGAGGTGAGTAATGGATGAGTATTAAATATAATTTTGCTGATTCCATATGCACACTATACATTAATCACAGCCGGATGATTATCCAAGTATATTGCTATTTCACTCAACTGTCTATAAGATATTACAAAAATCACCATTGATGCTGGCTTTAGCTGTGTTAAATTGCATGTTTCCCTTTGAACTTCCTTTTTAGTGCTGATTTAGTAAGATTTTTATTGACATTATTGGAAGCAGATATGTTTTATAGCCATAAAGTGATGGCCTGAATTGTAGATGGCAGTGACAGTGGTAAAGCTTTGACTCTAGTGATATCTCCTTAATCTGCAGATTCAAGCTGCATTTCGTACAGATGAAATTAGAAGGAGTCCTCCTACCCCTCAAGACGAGATGAGGGCAGGAATGAGCTACTTTCATGAAACAATCTGGAAAGGTGTACCTAAGTTTTTGCGCCGGGTTGACACTGCTCTGAAGAACATTGGAATAAATGAACGTGTTCCCTACAATGCACCTGTGATTCAATTCTCTTCTTGGATGGGAGGGGATCGTGATGGTATCTTTCTTTTCCTCAGGCAATTAATTAATGTGCATATTCTCATATGATTTTACTTACTAAACCTTTTCTGATGAAGTAATGTCCACATTATTGAATTTACTTGCTTTCTATTTTTCCGTGTAATTAATATAGTGTAAATTCTAAGATATATATTTGCCTAGTCCTTATTTCTTCATCAATGGCTGCTCATCTTCACTCCCTTGTGCATGCTTTCTGAAGTTATGTGTATTATACAGTATTTGCTTCCTAACAGTATGTGCCACGTTTGTTGCAGGAAACCCCAGAGTAACCCCAGAAGTTACAAGAGATGTCTGCTTGTTGGCTAGAATGATGGCTGCTAATTTGTACTTCTCTCAGATAGAAGATCTTATGTTTGAGGTATAGATGGGCTGATCACCATCAACTTTTCCTGTTTAGCATCGAAGCTATTGTTCTTATCGTACCACTTGCTTAGTTCTGGCTCCTTTTTCCGTTTGGCAGTTGTCAATGTGGCGCTGCAATGATGAGCTCCGTGTTCGTGCTGATCAACTCCATAGTTCATCAAAGAGGGATGCAAAACATTATATTGGTTTGTGACTGATATTATTTTTTTGTCAATGATACTTTTCTTGTTGACTTTATAGCAGCACAATATTGAATGCTTTTACTTAATATGTTCTAAACTAGTTGACTATTAAACAATTAAAGAAGATCTCTAAATACCACTTCCAATGCAAGGTTGAACTTTTTTGTATTTGATATTTGCTAGATTGTTATTTTTGGATATTTGATACTAACTGAATATTTGATAACTAGTTCTAACTGACCTTGAATTTCATATTAATTGATACTCGATTGATGCAGAGTTTTGGAAGCAGATTCCTCCTAGCGAGCCATATCGTGTTATTCTTGGTGATGTGAGAGACAAACTGTATAACACTCGCGAACATTCTCGTCAAATATTAGCTAATGGGGCCTCTGACATCCCTGAGGAGGCTACCTTCACAAATGTTGAGCAGGTTATGTTCTTTCTATGACCTAGTAATGCTACGGTATAGGATAAAGGCAAGGTTTAAGAAATACTCCCTCCGTTCCTTATTATAAGAGACGAATAACCGAATTACGTTGATCAAAAAAGCAGTTAAAATTAGTTAAGATCAATCAATATAATTTTTTTCCAAAATACCCTCATTATAAGGACAGCTAGGAATAATTAATTATTGAAAGTAGAGAGAGAGAGTGAGTTGGAGACAATAAATATGGGTAATAGGAAACAATACAAAAGTAGAGCTTTAAGTGTCTCTTATATATAGAACATGGCATAGCATCAAATGTCCTTATAATACTACAAAATAGCTTCTCTGTTGATTTCTCTCCACTTCATAGCTTATGTTCATTTGGAACTCTTCTAATATCTAGGTCATATACTAAAAATTTACCTGTGTGGTTCAACAAGCAATAGAACTTGTAGAAATACAATGGTATTCCTTAGTGTTAATATCGTTAGCAGTAGTGGATACTTAGACTTGAGATAAGATGCTGGCTGCCTCAAAACTGATTATGATCGGATTGCATTAAACTTTTAGCCTTGCAAAGGAAATACTTGATGCATAGCATGCTATAAGAATCTCCAGTAGCCATCTTGTTGTGGTATAGTGGCTTACATCAATGGTCTCTTGCCTCCCCCCGTCCCTGAACCATTTTTTTCTTGCAGTTCCTGGAGCCTCTCGAACTCTGCTATAGGTCACTCTGTGCATGTGGAGACCGATCAATAGCTGATGGAAGTCTCCTTGATTTCTTACGGCAAGTTTCAACTTTTGGACTGTCATTTGTAAGGCTTGACATTCGTCAAGAATCAGACAGGCACACTGATGTTATGGATGCAATTACAAGGCACTTGGGTATTGGTTCTTATCGAGAATGGTCTGAGGAACGCCGGCAGGAATGGCTCTTGTCTGAGCTCAGTGGCAAGCGTCCTCTTTTTGGCCCTGATCTTCCTAAAACTGAAGAAATTTCTGAGGTGTTAGAAACCTTCTATGTCATTTCAGAACTCCCACCAGACAATTTTGGTGCATACATCATCTCAATGGCAACATCTCCATCTGATGTGCTTGCTGTAGAGCTTTTACAGCGTGAATGTCAAGTGAAAAAGCCATTAAGGGTTGTCCCACTGTTTGAAAAGCTTGCTGATCTCGAGGCTGCTCCTGCTGCAGTAGCCCGTCTGTTCTCCATAGATTGGTACAGAAACCGCATAAATGGGAAGCAAGAAGTCATGATAGGATACTCAGACTCAGGAAAGGATGCTGGCCGCCTTTCTGCAGCTTGGGCACTATACAAAGCTCAAGAAGAGCTCATAAAGGTTGCAAAGGAGTTTGGCATTAAGCTTACAATGTTCCATGGCAGAGGAGGAACTGTTGGAAGAGGAGGAGGCCCCACTCATCTTGCAATTCTATCTCAGCCACCAGAGACCATTCATGGGTCACTTCGTGTTACGGTTCAGGGTGAAGTGATTGAGCAGTCATTTGGGGAAGAACACTTGTGCTTCAGAACACTCCAGCGTTTTACTGCTGCAACATTAGAGCACGGAATGCATCCTCCTGTGTCTCCAAAACCAGAATGGCGAGCTCTCATGGATGAGATGGCAGTTATTGCAACAAAGGAGTATCGCTCTGTCGTTTTCCAAGAACCCCGTTTTGTTGAATACTTCCGAAGTGTAAGCATCAGTCACATTCTATGTTGCATCCTTAGAATGAAAAATGCTCTTGAAAATCTCCCAATGCAAGTGAACACTTTTCTAATGGTATTAGTTAAGATGAACATTCCAATTGCATCAATGGTGTTTATGACCAAATCTTATTTTATACTTACAGTTTTCTATAATGATTACATAAGTTACCATCTGTTTTCCTTCCCATTTATTTTCAAAATATTTTGCTTAGAAAATCTCTTCTGGACAATTTATAAAATATTGTGACAACGTAAGACTCTATTCTCTTTGCCCTTCTTGATTTTCCGCTATTCACTTGGGATCTTGCAATTTCTTTCTTGTCCTCATCTTCTCCTCTCTTTGCCTCACTAATTCTTTTTGCCACTGCAGGCAACGCCTGAATTGGAGTATGGACGGATGAACATTGGCAGCCGTCCCTCAAAAAGAAAGCCAAGTGGAGGCATTGAATCACTTCGGGCTATTCCCTGGATCTTTGCTTGGACCCAAACAAGGTTTCACCTACCAGTATGGCTTGGCTTTGGATCAGCGTTTAAGCATTTGATTGAGAAGGATCCCAAGAATCTCCAAATGCTTCGAGATATGTATAATCAATGGCCTTTCTTTAGAGTAACCCTTGATTTGATTGAGATGGTATTTGCCAAAGGAGACCCTGGAATTGCCGCTTTATACGACAAACTCCTAGTTTCAGGAGAACTACGGCCGTTTGGAGAGCGCTTAAGGTCTGAATATGAAGAAACCAAAAGCCTTCTTCTCCAGGTAATCTTATTTTATATTACTAACTTGCCTTTTAGGGTTGTTATATACTTTGCTGCTGCTGTAGATTAAGTTCCTTCTGTAGTTCAGCCACTATTGTATCATGCATGTAGATTGCTGGGCACAGAGATGTTCTTGAGGGAGACCCCTACTTGAAGCAAAGACTCCGACTTCGCGATTCGTACACCACAACCCTCAATGTCTTGCAAGCTTACACATTGAAGCGAATCCGTGATCCAGACTACCATGTGAAGTTGAGGCCACATTTGTCAAAGGACTACATGGAATCAAGCAAACCCAGCAGCAGAACAGAACTTGTGAAACTTAACCCTACAAGTGACTATGCTCCTGGCCTGGAGGACACTCTTATTTTGACGATGAAGGGTATTGCTGCTGGCATGCAAAACACTGGCTAATCATTTCCTGTCATGTTTTTCCTTTGATTTCTTGCTGTGGCTTCGGATATATATATATATATATATATATATATATGTATTTAAGTTCTTGTAGTCTATGATGCCTGTAACATGAGGATACTTTCTACCTTAACTTTCATAATAGCACAAAGTTGAATGCCTTTACTAAACGCGTCGCAAGGTAGTAGACTACTAAACAACAATTTTAAACAAAGCTAAACCTTTTTTTTAATCTATAAATATATTTGGCATTGTTGAAATTATTTTTATAGGATATTTGATGCTTATTGAATATTCTGACCACTAGTTCTCATTGAGCTTGAGGACGTGCTTGGTTGAACAAAAGGGATAGGAGGGATTTTAATTGAGGGGAGGAAAACTAGTAATAAGTTTACCAATATACTTAATAAAAAAATTGAAATTTTATACATGAATGAATTATCTATTGAGTTTTGTTGGCTGACAAAACTTATTTTATAATAACAGAGGGAGAAGGTATAATTTTCTAATATCAAGGGCCTTTGGGATTTTCCAAACAAGAAAGGGTTAAAAAAATGTGCTCTTTTAAGATATTTGGGCATGAGTCAGGCTTGTTTAAAAACATGAATACGCCTAGCTCTTATTCAAAATGTTCTAGGATATGGAATTGTGCGTCAAGACGATGAGGTGGTGATCAATTGGACTAAATTGTTGTATGATCAGCCCATTTTAACTTTTGATTCAAGTCGAACTCATAACTTGTGAGATGAAAGCAAAATACACCCAATAACCAGCTACGAGCTCTATTGGTAATATTAAACCTGTTTAGAACAGTTTATAAATAGTTTTTTAATTATAATTTACGGAATATAAGGTAAGTATATAAGAGGAGTTTTGTCTCGACTTATATGAAACGTGTTTGTTTATAAGGGATTTTCACCGTTATTCTAACCAAGCCTATTGACATACAAGGAAAGTAATCAAAATGTTGATCATAAATAGCAATTTATTTATTTTGAAAAACAGAAGTCTAACCTATTTATTAATTACTAGGAGTACTTAAACAATTAATGTCAACAACAGTAATTTTAGCGGTTCATCTTTGGCCAAAAAAATAACGAAATGCTAATGTTTGACACAAATATAAACATTTGAATACAAGAAATAGGTAATCTTTTTTTTTTAATAGAAAATAAAAAAGTCATTTACATACTTGCAACCACTTGTTTTATTTATTGGTATTACTACCTCCTGGAATTAATATAAGAGCTAATTTGACATTTAATTTGGTTTTAGATATAAAACCTCAATCTATTTTGTTTTTTATATTTATCTTTTTCTCCCAAAATAATCCTTGCACTAGTTGTATGCGTTAATGTTTTTATCAAATGATAGTTTAGCTAATATACATAATTAGTAATGGTATTTTAAGGAAGACAATACTTATTATTACAAATAACTAACTTAATTGATTTATTTAATCTATTCAAATTAGTTAATTAGCTCCTATATTAATGACTAAATTAAGGACCAAATGTAGTATATTTTTGGAAATGGATCTTCTGGAGTTGAGAATCCATGAATTTTTTTAATTTGTCTTTTTAAAGAAAAGAGAGAAGATGTAAAGGGCATTTTTGTTCTTATGTTATTCTTTCAGAGGTATTGATCAAGTGGTGCAATGTGGTCAATGCCTCAGTCAAATATCCGTTATTTTATTTAAAAAAATGCCTCCAAAAATTACAAATAAATACTAAGGAACTAATGTTATTTTTTATTCTTGTAAAAGATCAAAATACCATTTTAAACAACCACTTTAATCAGTTACTAAGCGGTTGTCAAATAATCGTGGCCAATGACATTGACAAGTCATTAAACTATCACATTATTCGTATTTATAGCTCAACTAGTGTAAACAATTACGTTGGTGACAAATTGACATTAATAGCTTAAGGATAAAAATCCTTAAGAACCTATAATAATATAACAAATATGATGATATATTTTTTTTAACCCAATCTCATAATATCTATTTATCTCGGATTTCTTTCTTTTTTAAAAAAGATCAAAATATGCTTTTATTTGATGCGTAGTCGAACTAAAAAGAGTAATTTTAATATACATAGATCCTACCGTATCTGGTTTTATCTGAAATGAGCGTGGGCTCCCATTGAATTTTGCTTTGCATGTTGGTGGTGATGAGGTCAATTCTGTTTTCTTTTCAATCATAACCGAAAACCTATATAGATTTCGCTTTGATCTTCGGTGGTTTGTGGGAAAATTTCTTTTGTGACCGATCATATATAAAACTAACCTTACTGTTTGAGAGGATATATTACATATCACCCCACGTCCACAAGAATTTTGGTTGCTTGAGTTTGTGTTTGATGACTTGTGAATTAGTGATTAGTGATCTGATGGTAAATTGGTTCAAGATTGCTATGAGCTGTCTTCTGGGTATGAGAGGAGCAGCATGACACGCTGACACGTTGAAGCAGCTTGAGGAGAAGCGACTGGTCTTGATGCTGGGGACTCGATCGTGGTGGCTAAATCATTTTCTCATATGCCGATTTGCCAACTTGGCCGAGGAAGTCCGATGGCCTGCCAAAGAAGAGGGGTCGAGTTATTAGAGAATGGTGACTCTGCTGATGAGAACTCGCCCATCCCTGAATCTGACATTGAAGGGACCTTCAACAGGAGAGGAGCCCGCAGGAATTTTGTGGATTCCATGCGTACACTGTACATTAATTAAACACAGCCACATGATTCTCCATGTATATTGCTATTACATTAATTTTTCTGTTTCCCTTGGACCTTCCTTTTTAATATCAATTTAGTGGTATATTTATTGACATTATTGGAAGAAATCAGGAAAATGCGTTTTATAGCCTTGATTTGATGGCCCAAATTGTATATGGCAATGGCAGCGAAAAGCTCTGACTGTGATTTACTTAATCTGCAGATTCAAGCTGCATTTCGTACAGATGAAATTAGAAGGAGACCTCCCACCCCTCAAGACGAGATGAGGGCAGGAATGAGCTACTTTTATGAAACAATTTGGAAAGGTGTGCCCCAGTTTTTGCGCCGAGTTGACAAAGCTTTGAAGAAAAAGGGATAAATGAACACGTGCCATATAATGCCCCTGTTATTCAGTTCTCTCTTGGATGGGAGGGGATCGTGACGGTATCTTTCTTTTCCTGCACAAATAATTAAGATGCATGTCATTTTACGATTTTACTTACTAAACCTTTCCTCACAAATAGTAATCACACTGTATATGGCATAAATTCTAAGAAATCTTTTTACCTGGTCCTTGTTGATTCTTCATCAACGGACTCCATCACTCTCTTGTGCATGCCCTTTGAAGCATGGCTTGACTTATACAGTTCTTTCGTTCCCTATAATATGTGCCACATGCATTGCGGGAAATCCCAGAGTAATCCCAGAAGTTGCAAGAGATGTTTGCTTGTTGGCTATAATGATGGCTGCTAATTTGTACTTCTCTCAGATAGAAATCTTTGGTTGAGGTATGAGACAGGCTTGTCACTGTTTTCATTTTCTCCTGCAGTCTGGCATTAACAGTATTGTTGCTATCCCACCACTTGCTTAGTTCTGACTCCTTTTCTGTTTGGCAGTTGTCAATGGGGCGTTGCAATGATGAGCTCCGTGATCGTGTTTACGAACTCCACAGAAATGCAAAACGTTACATTGGTTGGTAACTCGTATTGTTTTGTTCTGAATGATACTTTTTAACAGTACAGTATTTTGATAACAAGTTTTAATTGGCCTCGAATGTCATATTAATTGATGCTTCATTGATGCAGAGTTTTGGAAACAGATTCCTCCTAACGAGCCATATCGTGTTATTCCTGGTGAAGTGAGGGACAAACTGTATAATACTCCTGAACATGCTCGTGAAATATTGCCCAGTGGGACCTCTGACATCCCTAGAGAGACAACTTTTACAAATGTTGAGCAGGTAATGTTATTACTATGACCCAATTAACACTCTGGTAGGAGAGAGATAAGGGCCCCCAAGTGACTCTATCTTAGTTGGAAATTGATGTTCAGAAATACAATATATGCTTCTCTCTCTATTTTTCTTCAGTTCATAGCTTTTTTATCATTAGAAACTGTAGCAACATGCTAGAACTTCACTACGGGGTTCAATAAGCAATAGAACTTGTGCAAGCAACACTACAGCTTTGTGAAGGAAATACCTAATGCAAATTGCAAGGCATGATGTAATAATTTCCACTAACCATCTTGTCCTTGTATAGTAATAGTAGCTTACGTCGATGGCCTTTTGCCTCCATCCCACTCCCCTAACCTTTTCCCCCCTCTTTTTGGCAGTTCCTGGAGCCTGTCGAAATCAGCTCTAGGTCACTCTGTGCATGCGGTGACCGATCAATAGCTGATGGAAGCCTCCTTGATTTCTTACGGCAAGTTTCAAATTTTGGACTGTCACTTGTAAGACTTGCGTCAAGAATCAGACAGGCAGACTGATGTAATGGATGCGATTACAAAGCAATTGGGTATTTGATCTTATCGAGAATGGTCAGAGGGACAACGACAGGAATGGCTCTCGTCTGAACTCAGTGGGAAGCGTCTTCTTTTTGGCCGTGATCTTCTAAAACTAAAGAAATTTCTGACGTGTTAGAAAATTTCCATGTCATCTCGGAACTCCCACCAGACAATTTTGGTGCCTACATCATCTCAATGGCAACATCTCCATCTGATGTGTTTGCGGTAGAGCTTTTACAGCGGGCATGTCATGTCAAAAGGGTTGTCCCATTGTTTGAAAAGCTTGCTGATTTTGAGGCTGCTCCTGCTGCAGTAGCTCGTCTGTTCTCCATAGATTGGTACAGAAACCGAATAAACGGGAAGCAAGAAGTTATGATAGGATACTCAGACTCAGGAAAGGATGCTGGCCGCCTTTCTGCAGCTTGGGCACTCTACAAAGCGGAAGAAGAGCTCCTAAAGGTTGCAAAGGAGTTTGGTATTAAGCTTACAATGTTCCATGACAGAGGAGGGTCTGTTGGAAGAGGAGGAGGTCCCTCTCATCTTGCAATTCTATCTCAGCCACTAGAGACTATTCATGGGTCACTTCGTGTAAACAGTCAAGATGAAGTGATTGAGCAGTCATTTGGGGAACAGCACTTGTGCTTTAGAACGAGCGTTTCACTGCT